CTTCTTCTTCTTCGATATGCAGCTGTGCTAGCTCTTCCTCCGTAGCCAGTCGCGCCATTAGATCCCGCTTGAAGTTCCTGCAGGTTCGTTCAAGCTCCTGGTCTAGTGGTAGTAGATCTCCCGACTGGCTACGGGTCATGCACTACCTGCACATAATCAGCAGAAGCAACCCGTGAAGGCACACAGGCGGAAGAGATAAAATGCAGTAAAGAAAAAGCTAGAGTAACAAATTTTCACGTTTCCCCAATAACCTAGAGGGTTCCCCGGCAACGGCGCCAAAAACTTGACACGCCAAAACACAACACCAAACTGCAACCAAGTGTAATCGCAGTCCGGGAATGCAGTAAAGTGGCAAGTTCTATTATTAACCCGGGGTCTAGAACTATTGCTTACTCCGCGATTATCTATTACCTAGCCAACTAAGTCAAGTGATTGTTGTTTTAAGCAAAAGCAGTAAGAAAGCAGGAATTGGTTCGGTTTTCTCAAGAAAAGAAGAGTCACTCGAGAATGAGTCCCCCTAGCTCCTTAGTTAGGTCTTAATTGTAATTACCCTGGGTTGATTTACTGTTGATTAGACTGCGGAAATCCGACAGTAGCTTGGAATCTCTTAAGCTGACCAAGCCCTCTCAGTCTAACTACCCGGCAAACGACTAGTCTTCACCGGGATAGAAAGATGAAGCAATAAGCACAGAACTCCACTACTGGAATTGGATTCCAGTACAAAGCAGTAAACTGGCTAACTCTCGTATAGCCAATCTTCTACTACCGAATGATGAGGCTCTAACAACCTAATCAGATTCTATCTATCTCAGGTTGCAGCAGAAATCAACAAAAGCTGATCAGACTTCAATCAATTCAATAAACATGCATCATTTGATTAAAATCAAACAGTATAATCATCCCAAGTCATTACAATCAAATCCCTAACACATGGAACTAGGGTTCTTCATACCCATGTGAGAGAAGGGTTCTACTCCATAGAGAGAGAGAAGAAAACAGAATACAAAACAGTCATACTCATAACAATGGGAAGAATCTGCTCTGGGATGATGATTTCCACTCCTATGACGATCTGCAAGCTCGATTTGATGAAACCCAGCTCCAAGATAGCTTCTAGGATGTGTTCTTCGTACTTTCTCTCTCTAGGGCTCTGTTTTTGCTCTGAAAACTCGATTCTCTCACTTGTGGCCCGAAATTGGGTAGAAACCAGAAAATCCCGATCACACGGGCAGGCCACACGGCCGTGTGGCATACCCAGTTGCCCGTGTGAGGTCAAAATGCCGCGTTCCGATTATGTGGATTTCAGGCTTCCTACACGGCCAGGGGCACACGGCCGTGTAGCTCACCCAGTCTGCCCGTGTGAAGCCTCGCAGAATTCAACACGGCCACTTTGGTTCATGACACGGCCGTGTGAGATTTATTCCTGCCCGTGTGAAGGCTCGCACAATCCCACACGGCCACATTGGTCACTTGCACGGCCGTGTGGGTTTTGTGTGTGTCCGTGTGGCTTCCTTTGCGACTTGCCTCGCGCCCGATCTTCGTCCAATCGACCCCGAATTCGCTCCCAAACCTTCATTCACGTACTAGGACCTGAAATATCACAAACAAGCACAACCTAGCGTGTAATCGGTCTAAAACACGAGAATCAACACATCAAACGGCTCCAGAATAGGGGTAAAAACATGTGCAATTAACGGTTTATCAACTCGGCAAAGTAACCTAATGGGTCTGTTCATAGTGGGTCGGCCACCCTTCCCTTTTTGGGCATCGTCCCAATAGTCCACGATGAGGCTATCATTCTCCCTAAATCAAGTGATACGTACCCTGCATGTGAGTCATGTTAAAAGTCTACAAGGGTATTCCACTCATGTTCCCCTCTTACGGTCCATCTCTAGAGCAAAGTTCAAGTCAAAGGCACTGTGTTTTTCGTTGAGAAGTTTTTGTCGTCATTGTGGCCCGATCATCCTCTTAAAAGTGACCAAGAAAGTCAGCTCTTCACCAACATCATAGTCATAGCGTTAAAGATAATCGTGACTTGCAGTGGTCGCCCTTCAATAGCTAGTGTTGGGAAGATAGATGAGCTATCGTCAATAAAGTTCTATCAAGTAATACAACAAGGTAGTCACCATCCAAGGAGTGATCGTCCCCTCGGTGTTCGAAATCAGGTAATTTTCAGTTTTCACCATTCTAGCTTTCAAGTTGGGCATTCACATCATTCATGCTTCAGGTTGAGGGGGAGAATAGGGAATCAACACACGTAGGCGACTAGTTCAGTCATAAAGTTGACCCCGTGTATCTATCAATCATGTTGCTCGGAGAAGCATAGTCAGTAGTGCAGTTAGAAGTCTCCAAAGTCAGCAACACAGTCATCAATCTCCAGTCTCATCCAAGATGTCAAGGAATTTCACCATGTTGAGTTCACTGTTAAAAGAACTAGGTCAAGCATGGAGTAGTTTCATCTTTTGTACTCCTCTCCCGCAAGCGAACAAAGTCACAGCCTGTTGGATCGTCATTGCCGACAAGAGGTTGTTCGAGTGTTGTTTAGTTTCAAGCTCGACATTCTTGTCATTCATGTCTTCGCTTGAGGGGGAGTGTTGTGGTTACTTTTGTTACTTAGTCTATAAGTAACAGAGTCATTGTCCTACTTGTCTTTGGCCATTCATGCCTTGTCCAAGAAGGAGAAGGACACTAGGTCATCCTTAGGTTTTTACCTAAGCCTTGGTCTATATATAGCTTAGCTGTCGTCTGTCTGTGGTAAGCAACCCGTCACAATGTAGTTGCCTAATAAAACGTCAGCCGCGAGCTCTTTCGAGCTCACTATGGATTAGTCTCGATCAATCAATTGATCAAGGATACCACGTAAAATCTCGTTTCTTTTGTGTTCGTTTCCTTCCGCATCATCAAATTATTCATCCTCGGCTCCATGGCCACCACCAAATCACCATCACTCCCTCCACCAACAATAGGAAACGATCCCCAGATGTCAACGACGATTCTAAATCCAGATCCACCGTAATCATTTGGTGGCAGGAGGTGAGATCTTTCTCCCAAAATGTTTCTAGGCGTAGAATTTGATGTTGCAGTCTAAATCGATAGACCAGATCTACAAGAGACTAGAGGATGCATGGAGGTGGAGTGGGAGGGATATATTTTGTTGGGTTCGAATCTGGATCCATCATGCCCCTTTTTGGACCAGATTAGAAGACTGTGAGGAGGAAGGCTTTTTTATAGTCAATTGAAAAAAAAGATGACCACTTAAATTACTACTCAATTGCTCCATTGTCCACTTCCTCTCTTGCACTTGCATAGATGGGCTACGGGGTAGCAAACATTTTCCCAAATACGAACCTACAACCGCAGCAACGCGCGTCCAATACACCCTAGTATACCGTTAAAGATGTAAGAAATTCAAATGAGCTATTTGGTAATTGGTGGTGTAATTGACTTGATTGAGGGAAAAAAACATTTGTAATTTGTCATCGATGATGTTGCTAACTATATTGTTGCGAGTAAACTAATTCATAAGAAGTATAGCACTTTATGTTGTTCTCCATGTCCATGTGACAGTCAACTATAAAGTTGAACGTTAACTAGATGATGTGGAAATTTAAAAAAAAATTTATTATTCCACCTTAGTGGTTTATTATAACTAATTTACTTGACTAAGTAGCTCAATCGTGGACATTTTATGGAGATGATTCTCCAAATTTGGTATGGTTACGTTGCTATACAAATTATGTCTAAAACATCTTCTGGCTGTGAGCAAATTATGTTGAAGTTTGTTTTTTCATATTCGTAGCAAGCGGAGGAATCAATAGTAGATCAAAGATTAAATAATATTGTTATGTGACTTACAATCTAAGGTTGAAGAACAAGTATGTTTTTATCTGCATGTTACACTGTAAATCTTTTTAAACTTCATATTTTCATTTTCTTTGATTTGTAGGTGATTAAAGAAAGTCGAAGAGCAACCCAATTGATTATGAGCAAATAGATAATATCGATTTTTTATGTAGATACAAACTATCAAAAGATTGAAAAGCTCTTTTATGATCTAGGTGGATGAATCATCGTCCTCCTCTTGAATGAGTCGTCGTATGGAAGGTTAACTTATTACTACATTTTACTTTAAAAACTCAATACATTCTTCTTATAATAATGAACTTGCCTTTGATAACAATTATGAATATTTATTTTCATAATATGGTTTGCTGCAGAGGACTTTAAGTATGATGTGACTCATGGAATTGATTGTGTAATTTGATACTTAGATTTTGAATTATAAGTATGAACATTTTAATAGTAAAATATACTAGGTTAGAATTTGACTCATTGTAAACGAATCACTTGCTTTTTATAAGATTAACTTAAATTAGATCAAAACTCGACTCAACTTAGTTTCTTTTCAACTAATAGTATATGCATGGTAGTATCAATTTCACCTATTCAACAAAGCATCGCAACGAGTGAAGGCGAAATCAGGAGAGCAATTGCCCGTAGGGCTGGGAAAATAGACCAAACCATTAGAAAACCATGGTCCAAATCGTACCGCACAGTTTGGTCCGAACCGTAGACCGTTAAGTATGGTCTAGTCTGGTCCATGGTTTGTATTATTTTTCGTTTTGGTCTCTTGGTCTGGTATGGTCTAGACCGCGGTTTTCCGGACCAAACCGTGGATCCAACCGACTTGTCAATACGTGTTAACGGCCCATTCGGCCACTCTCCCAACTCCCACAACGACACCCAAGTCCTAACCTTAGTTTTGTGAATCTCGTCTCTCCTTCATTCCCAACCACACCAGAGAGTAGAGGTAATCGTGTCTCCATATCATATTATATTCATGTTTATGACGTTATGGTGCAAGTTGGGATGCTTTTACTTTGTATCTTTGTTATGTACTAAGATTTAGGGTATCAAAATTATGCATGCATGTTAGGATTAATGTTTTAAGGCAAATAACAATTATTTTTCTTAGTTATTGGTTCAATTTTTGTGTGGTTGACAAAACAAATTATTCATTTTTCGTTGAGTGTGGTCTATCTGGACCAGACCAGACCAGACCTCACCAGACCGCACAAGTGTGGTCTGGACCGGACCTTAAAGTCTATGGTCTGGTCTGTGGTCTATACTTCAGCCTCTCGGTCTGGACCATAGACCGTATATATGGTCTGGTTTGGACCAGACCCCACCGTTGCCCAGCCCTCCCGCCTTTCCCATTCAATTTGTCAATACTTGTATAAATCAAATCCGCCAATGAATAAGCAACAAGTGGTCGTGCCGGAGTGGTTATCGGGCATGACTAGAAATCATGTGGGCTTTGCCCGCGCAGGTTCGAATCCTGCCGACCACGCATTTTTGCACTCCTTAAATCAAATATTTACATGTTCCCTTTTAAACCTGCAGATTCCATCAATTGACAAAAACCCAGACTCCAGTGAGTACTAAACAATGCTCTACAACCCTACCTAAATGGAACTTCAAAGATAATGTTAGTATGTTACCCAATACAACAACCCCACAAACTCCAACACCACACCACAGTCGTACCACTCCATTTCCCTCTCTCAAGAACTTCATCTCCATCCCCACAAACCCCGCCACCCCATGAATCTCCTCCGCCATGAAAACGCTCGGACTGAAGCGCTTTATGTAAAGCATTAGTTTTGTGGGCATTTAGATGTAAAAAGGTCGTTGAGCAGCGTTTTATATGAACGCAGTAAGCGTTTTCTTATAAAACACTTTATTTATAGTGTTTTGTTACAAAAAAACTACAATTGGGAGCGTTTTATGCCAAAATTGGTCATTTCATAAATTAAGCGGCAAACTTGGGTATTTGAGCAATTTAATTTATTAATTAGGACAAATGAAAAAAATCTAGGAACTAATTTCCTGATGTTCATGGGTGCTACGTATTTTGGTGGATTGTCGATAATGTTATCCACGATTAGACATTACATTGCCTCTGTGGGATGAATAATATCAAAGAGGATATACCTGCTTCTATCCTCACGATAGTCTGAGAAGGGAATGCAAAAGAATTCAACTTTCAACTCTCCAACCCCACAACTACCGACCTTGGTCTCGGTAAATCCTAAAACATGAAGGAGAGATAGGCTACGATAGGTAAAAACACACGCATTATTCAAACTAGCTTTAACATTTTATGTGAAAGGAGAGGAAAATTGATGATGTTAACCATAGTGAATGCAATATTGTTGAGGACATCTACGTACGAAGAAATTTGTAATTGTCGACCTGTATGCAGCTTATAATATCCTTGTGTTTGTATCTGAACTGTTGCAGCATTGAATTGAGTATTTGGTTATACGAATCACACATGGAATTCGGCTCCTTGTCGCACTCTTCATTTCTAATTAATGTGTGGAGCCTTCTTGAAGGAGCACTGCCCAGTGCAGAGAGCCACAAGACTGCAAATGTATGAGCTCCATATGCGTATGTGGTCGCATAAAAAAACATCTTTTGTGCAAGAAATCTATATATTAAAGATGAATTATATGACACAACCCCTCATCACAATCCTAGCTACAACTAATTAAAATGCCCCTCCACAATGACATTATCTCTCACGTACATAAAAAAAACCAACTTCTCCCTAGCTAGTCCGCTGGCCTAACCACTATATTTGTTACTTCTCACCGTATAATTAAATACAAACTTTTGATAATCTTTCTGGATTCTGTCTGGCCTTCAGAGATTACTGCATGGTGCACCATGCAGGTAATTAAGCTTACGTGGAAACTAATTGCCTCACGTTCATAGGCTCCACATACTTCTTAGGACCATCAACAATGGCATCCACCACAAGCCGATACGTCGCCTCCGTGGGATGAAGCCTGTCGAAGAACACATGGGTGCTTCTGTCTTTGCAGTACGCTGATAAAGGAAGGCAGAAGAACTGGGCTTCGAGTTTTCCAGCACCGCAGCACCCGGCCTTGGTTTCTGTCAATCCTGAAGCAGAAACAACAACACATCCCATGGTTAATTAAGTACCGTTTGGTGAAGATATTTGTGTGAAACCTAAACAGAGAGGAAGCTAACTAGTACCGTAGTTAGCGGCGTTGTCGAGGAGATCTAGGAAGAAAGTGTAGGTGTCGAAGTATGTGTAACTGAGATCACTGTGGTCGGATTTGAACTGCTGCAGCATTGATCTGAGGATTTGGTTGTGGGCGTTGCAAAAGGAATTCAGCTCCTGGTCGCATTCATAATTTTTGGTATTGAGCCTTTGTACGGGAGCGCACCCGATGGCTAAGAGCCCCGCCACGACGAACCTGCGAGCTCCATAACCGTATAACATCTGCATGTCCACCACCACAGCACAAGTGTATTCATCAGTGTTCAAAAAGCTAGGACCAACGATGGATAGATCGATTTATTGCTTTGGGGACGGATCTAAGGTGACGAACCCCATGACTCGTCGCCAAAATTTTTCGTGACAGAATTTTTCCCCACTTTTCATGACACTTTATTCGTCACTATACGGACCCAGACATCATTCAATCGTTGACTCTTAGAACTGAAGTTATATATATATTATAGTGTGAACAAAAGAATGAATCAAGAGAAAATGTTTAATGATTTTACGTACCTCAAGCTGGGATTTGAGGGTGGAAGTCATCTGATTGAAGCGCTGCTCCGGTGTGAACTTCTTCCGAAGATCGGAGGATCCGTAATACGACAACATGTCATTGCTACCAATCACGATCAGAAACAGCGACTTCCCCACTGACTTGCTGGCGCCACCACTGCCCATCACCTCCGACAGCTTCGAGTATACCGTGGAAAAGTCCTCAACTTGCTCCGTCATCGAAATATGCGATCCCTGTAGTACACCAATAACGGCTGGCTAGTTAATTTCAAAGACTACTGAAACAGATTAAACGCGACGAATATTGTTATGCATAGATGATTAATAATTAATTATGACTTATTAATTACCAGTTGGTTTCCGGTCTCATTGAACACGCCGGCGCCGGCGGAGGCGAAGTTCAAACCGGTGAGCGGGATGGAGATGGACCCATTCTTATCCTTCTTGTTCTTGATCGAGAGATACGGGGGCGGGGCCGGCAGACCTACTTTCTCAGCTGCAATTAATTATCATCCCAACCATTACTTAGTCCTCTAATTTAACCATTAAATAATAAAATAACGCTTAATCTTCCAGACACTATTAAATACTATTCAAAACAATGGAAGTGAATTAAACGCAACACTAATCACCTTGGCTCGTGAAACATGCATGCTCGTAAACAATATAATTAACAAGATTCCGGTGTTATCTTGATACCAAAAATTTCTAATGTTGCGGAATGGGTTTCTTCACAGCACTCCAGCTAATTTCACAGGCCAACTATACACACCTGGACTGGACGTCATTTATATCGCGAATATTCTCTTAATGCTTACTTCTAACGGGAGATTCGTTTCTCACATCGGTTTATAGAAGCTAAGTTTGTGACAGATTACACCACCGAAACCGTCCTTTTTCCTTTGCTTCATGGATCATGTGTACGTGTAATATTCAATGTTGGACGTGAACAGAGATAGAGATAAATGAACGTACCGAGCAAATCGGAGGGGAGCTTGCCGTTAGAGAAGCGGCCGGTGGGCTTCTTGGTAGGGAAATCAACGCCGTAGTGTGGGTAATTGGACTTGGCTAGGGCCAACGGAAGGTAGTTGTTGTTGCCGGCGTCCACCACCGAGTCGCCAAACACGAATGTCGCCGGCACCATTTGAGCCTCCGACAAGCTGCCAAGCATCATCATCAACAATAAGCTGCTACTAAGCACTACCGTTGCTATTGTTAATGCCATAACAAAAACTCGTCACAGAAGAGAAGAGTAACTTTGTTGTAGGAGAGTCGAAGGAAGGATTATATTAGCTAGCTGGATATTGATGAGTATGATTGAGGAGTGATGAGTTTCATTTGTTTAGAGTCCTAAGTCCTAACATATATAGAGAAAACGGGAGCGTGGTGAGGGGTTTGACTTTACGATATTTGAGGTGTGAAATGGAAAAACTAAAAAATTTGCTGACCCTAACGAATTGGGATATATTTCTGTGGCCGTAGTGGACTGTGGGGAATCGGATCTTGCTGGCCATAGCTAGATAGCTAACAACTTCCCATTTATTGCCAGATTGTTGTCTGCATGTACATATGGCAGTATCTTATACGCCTCAATTTCACATGTCGATCAGATTTATATTTCAATAGTAGAATTTTTTTTGGCATGACATCACACTTCATTTTTTTATAAGGGTGGTATAAGTTTATTTTTTGCAATTAAGGTACTATTTAAGGGATTCGAATCTGAAACTTCCAGGTTCTAGGCTAGTGGTATCACACTTAATTGATTTCGGGTCATTTGTCACAAATCATTATTGAGTGCCTATTGAACAAGGAAATTGATGTAAGGTGTATAATGCTATACATGTAATTGAATAGTTTATATTGTTTGGTTTATATGATAATTATAATTTTACTCTTTATTTTTAATTTAAAAGAAACAACACATACACACATAAAATAGTTCAGAGATATAGTTGGAATAAAAGAAAATTCAACAATCTCACCATGACTATTTCAACTAAATTATCACACATTTTAAGTGATAATAATTTCTATCAAATCAACCAAACAATGCTTATATTATTTGCATAATTCAAATAAACAATATATTGTGAATAATACATACATTATAACTATTTCAATCAAACGATCTCAAATATACGCGTCAAATTCACTTGTACAGTAGTTCTAATTAGAACATGAAAATATATATTGGGTAGCCGACCAATCAATTAACTCCAACCACTCACTAGTATACGCAGATGAAGGAGCTAGGCTAGCTAGCATTCAGATGAGTGACACTGACGGCTAATGGTTGTGGGTCGGCGAAGAAGCTGGACCTTAGAGAATTTGGTGGCACCCATATTTTCTTCCCTCCATCAGTCCTTTCTCACAGGCCACAGCCGATTGTTATTTTTGTTTCTCACTCATTATCTCTTTATCGACTAAGCATGAGTCTAGATCATATACATTGCTTCGGTTCAATTCCACTATAAGAATCAATTTGTGTATAGAGTCGGTTTAAAATAATGTTATCTTTTAAGCACTATGGCCCATAGCAATGATTAGTGCTTTTGAATTTCTTATACAAACAGATTAGACTTGTTTGTAAATTTTAAAAACTTTAAGTACTATAATGTACAGAAAAAATATAAAGGTACTATAAAGTATTTTTGGTATCAAAATTTTTAGGCCTGTTTGTGAATTAAAATTAGTGATTTATGATCCAATGATTAATCGTTCATAAAACTCTTTATACATTATAAAATAATAAACATATGTAATATACTCATTTAAAATTGAATCTATCACTAACCGTAAACAAATTCAAATTCATATCATTCATCAACAAAGTTCTAACAAATCATTCGAGATGTCTTACAAAAGAAATCACAGTTTTTTTTTCAAATTCAAGTTAGTAATTATGGTGGCAATCGGTAGTGTGACCACATGAAGCCGATAAGGAGGCTGAAAAACGAAGAAGAGGAAGCATAAATAAAATTAGTAATTCAGGTTAGAAGGTCTTAGTTTATAACGTGTATTTGCTTTCAAATTTTGTTTGTGTGATTAAAATAGTGAGTCAACGGACCAGTCAAACATGGTAATTCATCTGATTTCATATACGCAGCCATTATAACCCGTTTGGTTCGTACTAAGTCATCCAAACAAATGGACCGAACCACTATTGTAACTCGTTTGACAGTTCTACAGGTTCACCTGTTGATCAGGTTGGATTAATTCTTATGAAAAGGATTATGAATGAAAGGGTTTGATTTAATTATTACATAAAAGGGAACATAATAGGGTACATTCACTGGAAATAAATACATATTGTAAACATAGATGTTATAATACAATTGAAACTATTTGTAATCCATATATATATATATACATACACATAGTATATATACCATAGATGCATGGACATGAATCAAATGTGGCGAGAACGTTGTTTAAAGAAGGAATCCACAATGATCTCGGCAGCAGCCTCGGTGGGATGAACGAAATCCCAAAACACATGATCGTTCCTGTTATCGCAGTACATTGCAAACGGGAGGCACGGCAGCTTGGCCCTCAGATCCCCCAGCCCGCAGCACGCCGCGTTCACCTCCACGAACCCTGCCAATTAAACACCGACCACCGTCAGGATTAATATATATGTAACAGCTACGTACTGATCAGAAACAAGTCTATATATATATATATATATTTAGTTACCGTAGGAGGCAGGGTTTTGGACGAAACGCTGGAGCACGGCGAAGGTGTCCAAGTATTCGTACGTAGCGTTGAGGCCGACGGCTTTGAGGTCCGACAGCACGGACTTGAGCTGCTGGTTGTACATGGAGGCCATGGCGTTGTGCGCTTCACTGCAGTCACTGTTGCTCGACAGCACCCTCAGTTTTGGGGTGCACCCCAAGGACGGCACCCCAGCCACCACGAACCTGCGTGCCCCGTCCTCGTACAGTCTCTGCATCCAATCCATCGCAATAGTTCGTAAAACGTGGAACATCGATTAATTTGCATTCGATTAGGATGTGTATTTGGAAATAACATGCAGTATATGTACCTTGAGTTGATCATTGAGGGTGAGAGCCATCTGATGAACAAACTGTGAAGGCGTGGCGGTTTGCTTTTCCAAGTTTTTGTAGTAGAAGAAAATGTCGTTGCTGCCGATAACGAAGGTGTAGACAGATTCAGATAGGAGCTTTTTCGCGTCCGTGGATCCCATCTTGGTTTCCAGTACTTGTGAAACCGACTCGTAGTAGCTTATTTGATCAGCGAGTCCAATGGCCTGGTCCTGCAATATTGTTAATTAACTTGTTTGTTAAAACATGAAGCAATGTGATATATATATATTATTAATGCTAATTTAATTGGTTTTTATTATACAAAACGATATACTTAGCTAGGTTTCATTAGTGATTTCTACTAGTTAATTAATTACCGGATCTTGAGCACTGCCGTTGATATGGGCGCCACCGGATGCAAAGCTGACGCCGGCCATGAAAGAAGACGCATCGTTTGCATCCAGAGCTAGATACGGCGGTGGGCTCATCGCCAATCCAAATCTCTCAGCTGCTCCATCAAAACAAACCCAGCAAGAAAAATGAGTTTTTATTTTTTTTGCAGTCATAAAACGGTCACTAACAGCAAATAAACATCGTCGCCAATAAGCGTTTAGTAACCATGTTGATGGTTTTCGGCGACGAGGCTTTATTTTGTCGTTGCCAAAAAGAGAGCAAGGGATGAAAACAGAGTGTTGAATCACATGCTTACCGAGCCAGTCGGCAGAGTTCTTGCCATTACAGAACCTCCCCGTCGGCTGGTCGTCGGATGCGAAATCAAGCCCATTGTGCTCGAAATCCGCCTTTATCAGTGAAAACGGTAAGTAATTATTATTCCCAACATCGACCAAGGAGTCGCCGAACACAAACATCGCCGGCGCCGTGTCAACCCCCGGCGCCGACGAAGCTCCGCTCGACAAGCACGCCAACGCAATTGCAAGCACTACTCCACTGCTCACAGCATTCATCAACATAGCTGACCCCATCTTCATTTCCTAGATTGTTTCTTTAACTTCTTTTCTTTGTGTTTACTGTATTGGAATATGAAGTCATAAATTCTGGGCCTCTGTTTATATAGGGCCATTTTTGTTGGAAGATCCGGACGATGGACTTCCAGTTTGGAAGGAATGGGGTCGCGTATTCGCATATGTTTGCCATTGCCGTCTGTTATGATTCTGCTGGCGAGTTGGTTTTGATTTTTGATTCGGCGGTATACGTTTCTCTCTGCGTATATTGTTGTTTGGACGGTCTTAGAAAACAGGGTAAAGAATAGGAGGGGGCTAAGGAAACAAATTAATCGCCCTTCTCCATTAGGGGACAGTTTAAGGGATTGTTGACGATTTTAAGTTCTTTTACTAATGATGTTTTAGTTTCCAATCTATAGATGCTGATGTTGAAATAAGTCCAGTACTAGTGTCCAATATTGTCCAAATTGAATTCAGACAGTATACATAAAATGCGTGAAAAGGCATCGAAAATTTTAAGTATCAATCACACGCGACACAAGGATTTACGTTGTTTATGCTAATCGACGTATCAGGGAATAATTCAAAAGAATTGATTCCCCCGCTTTCTGAACAGAAGAAGAAGAACAGAACTTGGAGTGACGTCGTATTAGGCACGACTTGAAGAACAAACCGGAACGACAGCGTACCACGACAAGCTGAAGGAAGAAATGGAACGACAACGTCTCAAGACCACTTTGTCAAATTTCGTTTTAAACTCCAAATGTTATGTTCTTAGACACTTTTCCATTTATGTCTTGTACTTGCTTCTGATGCAAGGTTGTCTTGTTCTACAACTTTGATACAACTATATAAGCTGCCAAAACTAATGAGAGCAACAGGTTTTCAGTTCTCACAATCACAAATTGTTGTTATGGTATCAGAGCTTTGGTGCTGGAAACCCTAGCCGCCTCCAGCCTCCATGGCTCAAAATGAAGATGCATCAGCAGCTGCAGGAGCCTCATCTGCAGCCAGTCTTGACTCCATGGCAGATCCTTTCTACCTCCATGGATCTGAACAACCAGGGCTTGTTCTTGTTGCAGAGAAGCTCACTCCAACCAACTACAACAACTGGAGTAAAGCAATGTACAACGCACTTGGAGCCAAAAACAAGCTTGGCTTCATCAATGGCACACTTGTTGAACCAGAAGCAACTCACCCTACAGCCTGGGCCTGGGCACGCAACAACATCATGGTGCTCTCCTGGATCCAGCAAGCAGTTGATCCTGGTATCAGGAAGACTATCATGTCCATTCGCAAAGCTTCTGAAGCTTGGACAAGCCTCAGAGCTCGTTATGGACAAGGGGACATGATCAGAGTTGCTGAACTCATTGAGTCACAGGCCACTCTCAGCAAACTACCAGTTCTGGCTTCTCAGGTGCAACATTTTGTTCCAACCCACCTCAGCCTTCAAGTAAATATTCACTAAGCAATCAAGTTACATCATCCTACAATGAGACCGGAATACTTGACACAGGCGCATCAGACCACATTGTCTGTTCCCTCAATCACCTAACCAATTCCAGACCTATAAATGTTGTATACATCACCCTCCCAACTGGACAACAGGTTCAAGCCACTCATGTTGGGACAGTCCATTACATTGCTGGTCTCATTCTTGAGGAAGTCTTATTTGTTCCTCAGTTTAGTTTCAATCTTGTGTCAGTAAGCAAACTGACCAAGAACAAGTCCCTATGTTTGACATTCTTCTCTGATGTATGTTTGATTCAGGACATGCAGCTGAGAAAGATGACTGGTTCTGCTAATTTTCTTCATGGTCTTTACCTAATTGACAACCCCCCCTATAGACAGTCAACCAAACCACATCACAGCAGCCACTACACAAGGTTTTGATCTTTGACATTACAGACTAGGACATGTCTCCCATTCCAAAGTCCCTATTTTGCAACAACTATGTACATCCATAGAAACTTATAGATCATTACCATGTGATGTCTGCTATTTTGCAAAGTAATAAAGGCTTCCTTTTCCTACCAGCTCAACTGTTTCTGTCAAACCTTTTCAGTTGATACATGTTGATATTTGGGGTCCAAATTCAATTCCTAGTCATGATGGGTTCAGATACTTCCTAACTATAGTTGATGATTACACCAGAATGACATGGATCATTCTTCTAACTGCCAAGTGAGAAACAAGAACAAAACTACAAAGCTTTTGCACTTACACTGAAAGACAGTTTGAAACACCAGTTAGAAGGATAAGGAGTGACCAAGGTAGGGAATTTCAAATGACAGATTTCTTTCAACAAACTGGCATTTTTCATGAACAGTCTTGTGTGGAAACCCCTCAACAAAACAACCAAGTTGAGAGGAAACACCAACACATCTTAGCCATTGCCAGAGCCCTAATGTTTCAATTAAACCTACCTACTGATTTTTGGGGAGATTCTGTAAAGCATGCTGTTTATCTCATGAATAGGGTCCCTACCACAGTACTAAACAACCTGACCCCCTATGAAAAACTACACAACAAACCCCTTGATCTCACAGACCTTAGAGTCTTTGGTTGTTTGTGTTTTGCCAGCACAATCACTAGCCACGGAACCAAATTTGATCCAAGAGCAAGAAAGGGTGTGTTCATTGGTTTTACCCCATGAATCAAAGGCTATAGGATATATGACTTGACTACTCATGACATATTTATATCTCGAGATGTCATATTCCATGAACAACACTTCCCTTTTCAATCCTCACCATCATCATCCACTACAGACCACACTACCCTTTTTCCCAACACTTCCAACCCTTCTCACTTTGATGACTTGTCACCCTCTCCACACCCCTCTCCCAAATTTCCCTCCAATCCTCCTCCTTCCCAATCACAAACTGATTCAGACTCAGACTCAGACACAACCACTCTTTACTCTTCTCCTCCACCACAACCATCCCCTGTACCATCCCCCCATCTCCCCCTCTTCCTCCCCCAGCCCCAACTCAACCAACCAGAAAATCTACTCGTGTTGTCAAACCTCCATCCAAACTACAATCCTACCACTGCAACCTCTTACAGCAGCAGGCTTCCACCAGTCATTCTTCCCCACTGCATACTCCAGGTATCTCTCATCCTCTGAGTAATGTTATTCACTATGATTCTCTAGAACCATCTCACAGAAAATTTGTGCTAAGTATCTCATCTTACAAAGAGCCATCTACCTACAAAGAAGCTGTCTTATCTCCCGAGTGGAATACTGCTATGGAGATTGAGAAACAAGCTCTAGAGAAGAATCATACATGGGACATAGTGGAAAAACCAAAGGGTGTCAGACTTGTTGGAAACAAATGGATATACAGACTGAAGTTTCTATCTACAGGGATCATTGAAAGGCACAAAGCTCGCCTTGTTGCTAAAGGATACACTCAACAAGAGGGTGTAGACTACCAGGATACTTTCGCTCCAGTAGTCAAAATGACCACCATCAGACTGTTCTTAGCAATTGCAGCTTCACAGAGATGGCACATCCACCAACTTGACATTAACAATGTGTTTTTACATGGGGAGTTGGAAGAAGATGTCTATATGAAACTCTATGATGGTTACATAGCCCCTCCTGGTTTTACCACTCCTGTTTGCAAGCTAACGAAGTCACTATATGGTTTAAAACAAGCTTCCCGCCAGTGGTTTGCTAAACTAGCAGAAAAGCTAAAACTACAAGGTTACATCCCTAGCCAGGTAGATCACTCTCTCTTCTACAAAGCCACACCAACCTCCTACACCTGTGTTCTTGTCTATGTTGATGATCTTGTGGTGGGTGGCACTGATATCAATGAAATCACCAATTTGAAATCATTTCTACACCAACAATTCATCATCAAAGATATGGGGAGCTACACTTCTTTCTTGGCATTGAGGTTGCTAGAACAGATTCTGGGATTCACATCTCTCAAAGAAAATACACCCTAGAGATAATTGAAGATGCAGACCTGCTTCACACCAAGCCAGTCAGCACTCCAATGGACTACAAATCACATCTCTCAGCCTCTACTGATGAACCTTACCCCAATCCAAAACATTACAGACACCTCGTTGGCAAGCTGATTTACCTTACTACCACAAGACCCGACATCAGCTTTGCCACACTACAAGTAAGCCAATTCATGTCACACCCTACAATTTTTCACTACAAGGCAGTTACAAGGATTCTTCGTTACCTGAAGCATGCCCCATCAACTGGCCTTTTGTTCTCTTCATCTTCCTCACTCCAATTGCAAGCCTTCAGTGACTCCGACTAGGCTACTTGTGTTGACTCCCGACGCTCCATCACTGGCTACTGTGTCTACCTTGGCTCGTCCCTTGTCTCGTGGAAAAGCAAGAAACAAACCACCGTTTCTCGCTCCTCTTGCGAGGCTAAGTACCGAGCTCTTGCATACACCTCCCGTGAGGTCCAATGGTTGTTGTATCTCCTCCATGACTTTCGCATTCCACACCCACAACCAGTCTCCCTCTATTGCGACAATCAGTCTGCAATTTACATCGCCCAGAACCCGACATTCCATGAACGCACCAAGCACATTGAGCTTGACTGCCATTTTTTCCGGGACAAAATCCAAGCGAAAATCATCAAACTTCTCCACATCTCCACAGTTCACCAGCTCGCCGACCTCTTCACCAAATCCCTGCCGCCTGCGACCTTTGCTCTTCTCCTCTCCAAGCTAGGTGTCCATGAACTCTGCCCACCAGCTTGCGGGGGGTATTAGGGAACAATTCAAAAGAATTGATTCCCCCGCTTTCTGAACAGAAGAAGAAGAAGAAGAACAGAACTTGGAGTGACGTCGTATCAGGCACGACTTGAAGAACAGACCAGAACGACAGCGTACCACGACAAGCTGAAGGAAGAAATGGAATGACAACGTCTCAAGACCACTTTGTCAAATTTCGTTTTAACTCCAAATGTTATGTTCTTAGATACTTTTCCATTTATGTCTTGTACTTGCTTCTGATGCGAGGTTGTCATGTTCTACAACTTTGATACAGCTATATAAGCTGCCAAAACTAGTGAGAGCAACAGGTTTTCAGTTCTCACAATCACAAATTGTTGTTACGACGTGAATGACCTTTTATTTAAAGAGACTGTGTGTTCTTCAGAACGCTTTTAGTCAAGGATGAGTTACGATGATGTTATTCTCGTAATGACGCTTGAGATGTGAGAGTGCATACAACCCATAAAACCTAACTTATGCTTTGCAAATATTTGGTTTACCTTATCAGTAACACAATTCTTCATAAGACATCTTCCCTTAGGTCACCAACAAAAATATTTTTAGGACTATTAGAATTCGATTGATAAAGATAGGATGGAGATCGATGTGTATCAACGTGTTGCCTTCAATCAAATATTTATATGCTTAAATAAATTTACTTATCAATATCTTGAGAATAATAACATCAAATACACTCTAGAATCAAACTATATGGACAACAATATAATCTCGATTACCTATTAATAAAAGAAAGACCAGAGTCCTAATTTCTCCTTGTTACACGAAACTGGGTAGCTAGTTTCCTTTAATTTCTTCTCTATGGGTGTAGGCTCACTACTTTTATGATTTATCGGCTTAATAGCAAGTTTGGTCACTCGAATTGCTACAAAAATTCACATTTGCCATTCAAATTGATTTATTTCATTTATAGTCACTTAAATTAGTTGAACATTCCAAGTTTGGTCACTCTCCGTTAACCTCCGTTAGACTCCGTTAATGACGACCGTTAAGTGATGACGTGGCTAACAGAAAAACACAGTCATCATATTTTAACACTAAAAAACGATGACCCAACCCGCCACATCATATTTACCCGCCATGTCAGCCCTACTTGCCCAACCCGCGAACCAACTAAATAATTGACCCAACCCCAAACCCAAGACCCGACCCCCTGAATCTAGATTCTTGTCTCTGTACTATTCGCCTCGCAGAGAAGAAAGGGGAGAGATCCAGGGGATCCCTCATAACCAAGCATATGCTAATGTTAAGCCATGAAGCAAGCTCTCTGCATAGAGCTCCAACAGTTTATCCCTTGAAGGCACAGCGAGTGCGAGCTGGGTCGAGAGAGAAGTTTCACAAACATTCCTTCAGGTTTGCAGGTGCGATTTCAAGTGTTTGATTTTCTGCTGAACAATGTGGTGGTCGGGATGGTGGTGGAATCTTGTGTTATCGACGGCGGCAGCTGTGCTACTTCCGTTAATCGTCTTCTCCAGGTTTCTGTTCCTCGAGAGGAGGGAATCTGGAAGTGGGAGTTCAAATGTCTCTTCACAATCTGCGCCAAACACACCAGTCAAAGCTTCCGGTTCTGAGCTTAGTCCCGAACCTGGAGATTCTTGAGCTGGGCGAGCTGATTGGGGAAAGTGCCATTGAAGACATTGTTGGAGAGATTGAGGAGACGGAGGCCGGAAACGGCGGAGAGCTGCGGCGGGATAGGGCCGGAGAACTGATTGGGGGCGAGTGAGAGGTTCTGGAGGTACCTGAGGTGGGCGACGTCAGGCGAGAGGGTACCGGAGAGGTTGAGGCCGGAGAGGTCGACGGAGGTCACGTGACGGCGGGAGAAGTCGCACGTGACTCCGGGCCAAGTGCAGACTGCGGCCGAAGAGTTCCAGGCGGTGAGGGCGGAATCTGGGTCGTCGGTGACGGCGGATTTGAGGGAGAGGAGAGCTTGGGATTCGGACAATACGCGAGCGGAGGAAGTAGAGATATGGAGGTGTAAGAGAATGAGGAGGAGGAAGAAACCGTTTGAGCTTTTTCTTGGTCGTATCTAGATCTCAAAGCAGAAACAGTTGAATGTGTAAGTGAAAAAGTTGAGAGGTAAGGCTCAACTTCAGCAATGAGATTAATTAGATTGGTTCCAGTTCCAACGATCAGATCCTCCACAAATCCGAAAATGGAATCCCTTCATACCCTGTATCTTATCCAATTCAATTATCATCTTCTTCTTCTAACGATCTACGAAATCGGAGTAATCAAGCGGTACTGGAGTTGGTAGCGAATTCGAGGGCAGAGGATGAACGCGATGAAGAAATGGACAAACGAAATCAATCGCCATTGATGGTGGATTTTGCTTTGACTAGAAAAGGAATAGAAGCCTCATTCCGTTTACTGTTTGTATCCTTTTCTTTTCTAGGGGTTGAGAAAGAGGATCGTTTTCTTCTTCGCCGCGGCGAACGGCGGAGGAGAGCCAAGAATCTAGATTCAGGGGGTCGGGTCTCGGGTTTGGGGTTGAGTCAATTATTGGGTTGGTTCGCGGGTTGGGCAAGTAGGGCTGACATGGCGGGTAAATATGACGTGGCGGGTCGGGTCGTCGTTTTTTAGTGTTAAAATATGCTGACTGAGATTTTCTGTTAGCCACGTCATCACTTAACGGTCGTCATTAATGGAGTCTAACGGAGGTTAACGGAGAGTGACCGAACTTGGAATGTTCAACTAATTTAAGTGACTATAAATGGAATAAATCAATTTGAGTGGCAAACGTGAATTTTCATAGCTATTCGAGTGACCAAACTTGCAATTAAGCCATGATTTATCTGTTGTATATATGTGTGTTTGCCTTCGTGTCTATGTTGTCCATTAGTTTAGTTTTGCACTTTTGTGCCCTTCAAACAGCAATCAACTGCTTGATATTAGTGGGGAAAGTGTATTTGCCAGTCGGACCATCATAGAAAGCATCAATGAGAAGTTGAGTAGCTGCTTCTGTAGGGTGAAACATGTCCCAGAATACATGATCCCTCCGGTCGGAGCAGTATGACGAGATCGGTATGCACGGCACCATTGCCCGCAAGTCTCCCAGCCCACAGCAAGCCGCCTTCACCTCCCGAAACCCTGCAGTAATACTCTCCCGACAAAATTGTAACTATCTTTCCAACACAAGTTGCTTATATTACGCATGTTTAGATGTCAGAAGATTCAAAATCAGTGTACCGTAAGGGGCAGGGTTGAGGATCATGTTGTATAGCATGGAGAAGGTGTCGAAGTAGGAGTAGGAGAAGTCCTTCCCGAATTCGGATTGGAGTTTCTGCAAGGTTGACTTGAGTTGCTGATTGTACAATGTGGCTAGGGAATTGTGGTCCTGGTCACAGTCTTGGTTAGCGCTGTCCTTGAGCCTCTCCCTTGGCGAGCAACCCAGCGGTCCGACCCCTGCCAGGACAAACTTACGAGCCCCGCTCAGGTAGAGTTGCTGCGGGAACCATAGCAGAAATCAAAATGTTAGCTCGTAAAATTCCGAAAGAAATTAAAGATAGTGCAAATTTTGTATGGCGAGATTGTGCTAAGTTTGATTGATTGCCTTGAGGTGGTCTTTGAGAGCTGTAGCCATCAATTTGGCGAATGCCTGTGGTGGGGTGCTCTGTTTCCTGGCAGAGGAGGAGTTGGAGTAGTCAAAAATGTCGTTGCTGCCGATTACAATGGCGAAGATCGACTTGGTGAGGTGGGTTTGTGCTGCTGAGGATCCCATTTGTTGAATCAGTGACTGGTAAACGGACTGGTAGTACTCCATTTGCTTTGTCATGGGGATGGACTGCCTCTGTAAAGTTAGTATATAATAAACAAGAACTATTTAGCATCAAGCGGGGATAGCTCAGTTGGGAGAGCGTCAGACTGAAGATCTGAAGGTCGCGTGTTCGATCCACGCTCACCGCATATTATTTTTTTTACAACTTGCCGCTAATATTGGGCTTACAACCATATCGGGCCTGAACCAAAAGTTGACTGACATTTCAATTAAGCAGGCTTCCTTTTCAGTAGGCCCAAACTATAAGTGGACAAACATCAGTCGCGTGGGCTTCTAATTAAGCAGGCTTACGTTTCACTTCTATATTTCGTTTTTTGGGGAGAGATTTCACTTACCAGAGTTTGGTCGCTGCCGTCGAAGATGCCGGCGCCGCCAGACGCGAAGCTGACGCCGGTAATGAAAGAAGACGGGCTTTTGGATTTCACAGCCAAGTAAGGTGGTGAAGTTGGCAACCCCAATTTATCAGCTGGTGAATCAATAAACCGCCAGAAAAAACAAATAAATAAAGACATAATTAAACGATATATATCCGGCCGGCTGCATGCTATATAATTAAATTAGGTGGTATTATATTTGTTACCGGAAAGTGCCATTAATTAAACTTGGTAGCTAGAACATGCATGCATAAAGCTTTTCTGCGACAAAAGAATATGATACCGTGGTGGTGTAAGGACCACACGGTAACAAACTAACTATAGTTTATCGGTCCACGGGACATTAAAAAATGGAATTATCGTACATCATAATATGAAAGAATCCCAGAAAAAAAACAGAGCACGTACTGTGCTGTGTTCCTAGTAATCAAAGAATCTAATACTTACTAATAATGTTCCATTTTGGGTGCTTTACTAATTGCCACTTTCGTCTCTTTCTCGCTTTTCTCTTTACAGTGCATGAGGTTGGAGGATTCCTTAGGGGCGGAGTAAAGTGATTAAGCAAACAACTACACAGGCAGAGCCAGTTAATTAGGTTCTTACTGCAAATTACAGTAGTAATTGCGATAGGTTACCTATTCCATTAGATCAGTCATCAGACTTTAGACGCAAACCAACAAGCCATGTTTTTTCCTTTTTAAAGCTGAGGCAATAACACAAGTACACAACATACGGTTTGTTCACTTTGATGTAATTACTAATTAAGTTTCTCTGTTTCGGTTAATTACGTGGAGATATGAATCATCACATGTATGTCTGGTTCAAACAAAAGGATAATAAATGGGAGATACTAACAAACCAACATCCGCCCATGACTTGCTAGTGGCAGAACAAACAACCGCAATAAATGAAGACAAATGACCCGCTTTTACATTTAGCAACCAGACCTTAATCGTGGTTACTAAAAGAGTGGCATCAAGCTGCTGTCCTGTCCGTCACCAGTTTAGAGAGTTATTTGAGCTATACCAGGCATGCACTACTCAATGTGATTTTCCAGAAGGGATAATATGTTAAATATTGTAGATGGGCCATGAGAAAAAGTTTTGAAGATCAGAAGAAGAACTTGATAAGTATTAGCTAGCTAGGTTAGGTTGGGAAATTGGAAATATATGAAAAGATGGATGGAATGGAAGAGGACATGCTTAATTACCGAGCCAGTCGGCGGCGTTCTTGCCGTTAGAGAACCTCCCCGTGGGTTTGTTGGTGGGGAAGTCCATCCCATTGTGAGGGAAATCCGCCTTGGCCAGCGACACCGGCAAGTGGTTATTGTTGCCAACGTCAACCAGGGAGTCGCCGAAGACGTACACGGCCGGCACCATCTGACCCTCCGACGCCTGCATCAGCTGCAGGGAGCTGACCACCAGCATCAAAAGCGGCACCAAACTAGTCGTCGGCAAAGCCATCTGATGAAGCTAAACCAGTAAGCAAGCAAAGGAGGCTGTGTGGGGGTGGGGGGGTTGAGAATTGAGCTTAAACTCAAATTAAAGCTGATGCTCTATCAGCAGGGATGGTAAAAAAGCCAGATTTAATGATTTGTTTGTATATGAAAAGGAGGAGGTACGGTGTGAACATAAGCAAAGCTAAAGCTAGCATAAGAGTGGTTCGGACAGGATGGTTGGTGGGTTGGCCGACCCCGCATATTAAATCGTCCCATTCTGAAATTGTGGTGCGGGTGCCCCATTGCCATTTGTTAAATATAGGTAACAAAGTGTAATTGTAGTTAGGGATTGTTATAGCAAACTTATAAATATCGTTGTAAATTATAACAGAAGATTAACGAAATAATAAGTCTTAAAATTTGAGAGGGAGATCCTCTCCGTGGACTAGTGCCATACCGGCGATACCACATTAAAAAACGTCTTGTATTCTCCGATTTAGCTTTTCTTGACATGGTATCAGAGCCTATGATCAGAGCTCTCGCTTTGCTTGTCTTTGCTACGACTAGGGTTTTTCTTCTCCATCGTTCTTGGGGTTGCTTGTTTGTTGCTCGGCTGAGATTGGTGTTCTTAGGGTTTTCTTTTGGTGCTGTGTTATTCGGCTCTCTTCCGCGGCTATATCTCTGGGTGTGCGGTTTGTTTTTATTTTTTTTTTGCTTGGTTATTGGTTCCTGGTCTCATCTCTCCAATCTACTCCTACCTTCCTTTGGTGTGTTGTTCGCTGCTTTGGTTTCTTTTGCAGCCATGGATTTTAGCAAGATTGATGCCACTGCCATCAAGTTTGATGGAAAGAACTTTGCATTGTGGGAGTTTAACTTCCGCAATTTCGTCGAAGGTCGTCGTCTTCTTCCTATCCTCACGGGTCAGCTGCCTCGTCCTGCTGCGACAAGCCCTGCTAAGAATGTTGAAGATTGGGCTGTTGGCAATGCCAACATAATCACCTGGCTGCTGGGCTACGTCGATCCTGTTACTGCCCTCAGCCTCCGTCGCTTCTCTACAGCTGCTGATATGTTGAAGCACCTCGTTACAACTTATTCCCAAGCTAATACTTCCCGTCAGTTTCAGCTGGAGGTTGAGCTTGCTCGCTTTGAGCAAGGCGATCGAGATGTTCGCAATTACTATCAAGAGTTGCTTTCCATGTGGACTGAGCACGATATGCTCACGGCCTCTCTTTCGGCTGGCGCTGCTTCTGCCGAGGTTATTGCCGAGAGATCTCGCTCTCATTTCCTTCAGTTTATAATGAAGTTGCGCCCCGATTTCGATCCTATTCGCGCATCACTCATTCATCGGAACATTCAGTCTATTGATGAGGCCTTTCGGAGCTGATACGCGAGGAGCCCCAGCTGAAAAGTCAAGCTCAGCTTGATCGTCATTGTTTCGAGGCTGTTTTTGCTATGAATCGTCATGGTTCGCAAAGGTCTGCTAAGCCTCAGTTTGAGCAAAGTAATACTGGTACTCTCACTTGTCATTTCTGCCGGGAAGTTGGTCATATTCAGCCGCATTGCAAGCGCAAGAATTTCTGTATCTATTGCAAGCAATCCGGCCATATTGTCCTCGAGTGTAAGCAACTTGCCAAGAAGGGTCGCTTATCTTCCTCCTTGGGTGCTCTTGGTTCGTCCCGGTCTAGCTATGTGGTTGAGGTTGCTGATCAGCCGGCTATTATTCGCTCTCCGCCAGCAAGTCCTGCTTTGGATCCCTCTTTGGTTCGGCGTCTGGTTGACGAAGCACTTCAGAAGGCTCTTCCGTCGGCATTGACTGTTTTGTTTTCCACCGGTGCCTCCTCAGGTAATTCTTCCCGGTGGTTGCTAGACTTAGCCGCCTTCAATCACATATCTCCTAATCTCCATTACTTTACCTCCTTGCGTCCTGGTTCATCCATGAGTTTACAGGTTGCTAATGGTGATCGTGTGTCTGTTGATGGGGTGGGCACGGCTTCTAGTCCCTCCGTTTGTCTGCCTAACACTTTATATGTTCCGAAATTGGTGTCTAATCTGGTCTCTGTGGGGTAGTTGACTGCAGAAGGGTGTGATATTGTTTTTTCCTCTGGTGGGTGTTAGGTGCAGGATCAGAAAACAGGGAGTGTGATTGGGCGGGGTAGACGGGATGGTCGTGTGTTCGTTCTTGAGGAGTTTCAGAAGGATTCTGGAGATGGAGGTGCTCGGCAGCTGGATGCTAGAGATAGTAGTTTTTCTATTTCTGAGTTTGAACATTCGGATTGTGAAGAGAGTCTCGATTTTACGAATTCTTTGAAGGCTTTCAGTTTGGATAATTCTTTTGGTTATTCTATTAAACCATCTGGCAGTATGGATTTTTCAGTACATTCTTCTGTATGGGATTTATGGCATAATCGCCTTGGTCACCCTCATACTGCTCGGTTAATGTCTATGTTCAAGACTAAATTACTGCCTGACAAACTTGATTCTCGGTTTTCTTCTCCACCTACATGTGTCAGTTGTATTGAACCCAAGGCATCACAGTCATCATTTCCTTCTAGTGATACTGTCGATGATACGCTTTTTGATTTGGTTCACACGGACTTGTGGGGTCCATCACCTGTGACTTCTCTCCTAGGGTTTCGCTACTTTGCCTTATTCATTGATCACACGACCTGTTTTACCTGGATTTTCTTTCTTCGCCAGAAATTTGAGCTTATTACGTATGCGAAGGAGTTTATTCAGTATGTTCGCACCCAATTTGGGAAAACCGTCAAGATTGTCCGTTCTGATCCTGGGGGTGAGTTCGTTACTCATCCTCTGCAGGAGTTTTATGTCGACCATGACATCTTGTCCCAGCTCTCTTGCCCCGGAGTGTCTCAGCAGAACGGCGTGGTCGAGCACAAACACCATCATGTGCTTGAACTTACCCGTGCCTTGCTGCGCCATTCTCGCATCCCAACTGGTTTATGGGCTGAGGCGGTTAATACTGTGGTGTATTTGATTAATCGGCAAGTCACTCCTATCTTAGCTGGTGAATCACCTTATCAACGTCTCTACTCCAAGGTACCGGACTATTCTTTTCTTCGGGTTTTCGGTTGTGTGTGTTTCGTTCTTTTACCCAAGCGTGATGGTACTAAGTTGGACCCCAAGACAGCCTGTTGTGTCTTCGTCGGCTACAGCTCGCGGCAAAAAGGGTATCTTTGCTATGATCCCCAGGGGCGTCGGATGCGTGTCTCGTGTCATGTTGTTTTTCTCGAGCAGCAGATTAATTATTCTATGGGCTCAAGAGACTTGGAGGCCGAGGCTGCATTTCTTGATTCCCCGCGGGTTGTTCTTGATCCGCCAGTTCTCCCTCTTGTTCGAGATCCTAATGCTGATGGCCTCACTGGGAATCAGGGAGGGAATGAGCATTTGAATGAGAACTTGGATCATACACCACCAGCCACACCAAGCGTGTCTCTCCATACTACTTCATCAAGTTCGGATTCATCTTCACCAGGAGGAAGTAGTGAGTCAGGCAGTATAAGTCATCAACTTCAGGTCTCATCATCATTGGAATCGAGTTCCAGTGATTCCTCTGAAGTATCATCTTCCTCACCTTCTACTGTTGCCGAGGAACCCTTGGGTGGATCACCACCTCCGCTACCCATCCTACGTCGTTCTTCTCGCACAACCTTGGGGCAACCGCCAGTACGCATGCATGATTACGTAGGGTTTTCAGCTGAACCAATCCTCACCCCTACTCATTATCGGTTTGCAAAAGGAGACCCTCGCTGGAATGTAGCCATGCGGGATGAGTTTCAAGCGTTGGAGGCGAATGATACGTGGGACGTGGTTCCACGAGCTCCCGGCATGCAAGTCATAGGAAATCGTTGGGTTTATAACGTGAAGATGAAACCAGATGGGGCGATAGAAAGATTTCGAGCAAGGTTAGTAGCACAAGGTTTTCGTCAGGAATATGGGATAGATTATGACGAAACTTTTGCACCGGTGGAAAAAATGCAGACCGTTCGAAGTTTATTTGCTGTGGCGGCTATGAAAAATTGGGAAGTAATACAATTCGACGTCAAGAATGAATTCCTACATGGAGACTTGAAGGAAACCATCTATATGGAGATTCCTGATGGGTATACGAAAGGTGGCCCAGGTATGGTTTGTAGATTGAAGTGTTCATTGTATGGGTTAAAACAAGCTCCAAGAGCATGGTTCGAGAAGTTTCATGGCACTATACTGTAGGCAGGGTTTAATCAAAGTCAAAAAGATCCTTCAATGTTCACTCGACAGACGGTAGACGACATTGTGGTATTGCTCCATTATGTAGAGGACATGGTAGTAACCGGCAGTGATCGAGAGGGAATTCTAGAATTAACCGCATCCTTACGTGAGTCCTTTAATCTCAAGGAATTAGGACCTGTTTCATACTTTCTTGGATTGGAGGTAGTAAGATCTGATGCAGGTTACTTCATTAGTCAAAAGAAGTATATCAATGATCTTTTATCCGCCGCAGAATTTTCAGATTGCCGTTCATGCTCTACACCAATGGAACAAAATTTGAAGTTGAGCAGAGGTAGTGGTGAATTATTGGAAGATCAGACATTTTATAGGAGGGGCGGAGCTAGCATTTAGTGCTCGGGGGGGCCGGATTTCATAATACATTGCTGCAAAAGACTAAAAAAAATACTAATAATTAAAATATTTAGGTTTAAAAATCTATTTTTATACTAATTTTGTTTTATTATAACCATATAAAATATTTTTCACATTATATTTACTATAAATTAGAATAATAAAAAATAATATATTTCAAGAAGCAAAAGCGGTAATTAATTGATGTAAAATATAATTTAAAAAGGAAAATAAAAATTACAAAGTTAATGACTAAAGTATTTAATGCCCGCTTACTATAAAAGAAAAGGAAGGAGAAGTTGTAGTTTAGGTAAACTACCATAAAAGTAATTAACCTAGGGCGCTTACTATAAAAGAAAAGGAAGGAGAAGTTGTAGCTTAGGTAAACTACCATAAAAGTAATTAACCTAGGGGAAAGCTATAAACTGCTTCCCTTTAGAATCGAACCCGAGACCTTTGGGTTATAAATAGTTCATCTTCCGCTGGGCTACAAGAAACTTTATGTCTTAACTTTGCACGGTTTATATTTTATATATAAATTATAGTTTGTACACACGATCCCGACTTATTTATACGTGACTTTCGAGATTTTCGGGGGGGGCCGCGGCCCCCCCGAGACATGCTGTAGCTCCGCCCCTGTATAGGAGTGTGGTGGGGAGTCTAATTTATTTAA